TTGATGCCTGCATGGCATTGGCAACAGTCTGTATATGCCAGTCATCTAGTTGAAAAAGATAATATGTGGCAGACTTTGGATTTGGAGCTGTTAAAAAGAAGACTTTCTGGAAAGCAAGAGATAAGTGATGAATCTTACTAGGATTTCAAAATTCTTGGGACCCTTTCAAGATTTCTGCTTCTGTAAAGCATTTGATCTCAATATTCAAGCAAGAGACTTTGAAAATATTTTACCCCATTTGTGAATAAAACTGCCGTGTGGGCAGGGGAAAAAGCAGTTAATTGGACCTGAAACATGGGTCTGAACCGCAATTCATTTTAACAAGAGCCATATAAACCTTTTCCAAATGGGTTGGAGCATCCTGGCCCCAAAGAATAAAGGAAGATCAAACTTTCACGATGCTTTGATCTTAATTAATTAGTAATTAGTAACTAAAAATTTTCGGAATCAATCCTGGGACCACTCTAGTTGAGGCACGTGGTAAAATTCTCTCTAATTCCACCAAATTATGATCATATGGACAACAATGACAAAAACACTCGGGCAGTTGTGTTGGTTAAAGATGGTGCAGGATTATCAATCATGGCATCAAAAACAGGGGCAGGATTATGTCCACCACATAAGATTTTGTTAAGATCATCAAAAATTATAAAATATTTTCATTAAGGGCAATAATTTTATTTAGTTAAATTAATAAAAATAACTAATAAAATAATTAATATTTATAAATTAATAAATTAAAATTGATACACAAATTAAAATTTTTAAATATTATTTTAAAAAAATAAAAGAATTAATAACATTAATACTTTTTTTTATAATTAAAATAACACACCCTAAAACAGCCATTAGATTTGGTAGAAAAGAAGAGAAAGCTCGTAACCATATTTAGAATAGGGTGTTTTTAAACCTAGAGCACTATATATGGTAACAGGAGTACTAGTGTTCTTAGTGTTGATTGGAGATGTGTCAATCTTCTCTTCGGAGAGATTCGTTTAGGAAAAGAAAAGAAGCCACCACACCAGAGAGGCAGAGGAGTCTAGCGCGCACTTGGCTCTCACTGCTCATTGCCAAGGAAGCACTAAGAGGGGAGCTGGAATCCACTTTTGAGTGTGTTTTTCTTTGGATAGATATTCAGAGGCATTTATACTTATCTTCTCTTGCTTCTACAATTAATTGCTTTAGTTCTGCCTGTGGGCTGCACCCTGGAGAGAGATGGAACATATGGTTTGTTTAATTTTTCTTCTGTAGACCAGAAACGTGGAACTGAGTAGATAAGCAAAAATGAAGAAAAGACCATTGATCCACTCTTGTATCTTTCTTACAATTAGATTTTTACAGGGTAACAACTTGGGCAGACAACCACACACATAATATCCTAAACGAGAAGCGAGCATAAATAAGTTTTTTTTCATGGGAAATCTGTGCAATTAAACAACAATCATTCTTGGAAAGTTGACTCCTAAACTATCTGCAATCCCTTGATTCTTGTTTAGATTTAAACTCCAAAGAAACATACATATACACAGATCAAACAAGGAAATCATCAAACGAGGGTAAAATTTAATCTTGACTCAAATACTATAATTAAATCTCCCATGTACATCTCCCTGACCCTATTTGATGGCATGGGAATATATTGGTAATTGCATCCTCAAGGACTGGGAGACATGTCTGGCAACATGTTGCCGTAGCAAGAGATGCGAGCAAGACCCAAGAAGATCGTATAGAACTGGCGTCCATATAACAATTTGGCAAGAATCATCATCGGTCTTTGACAAAACCCTAAAAATTTGCAGGTTGAAGCTGTGCAAACAAGAAACACACAATTCAGCCCTAGCTAGTTGAAAAGTATGTATGATTATCTACTAGAAACATATAAAACAAGAAAAGAGAGAATATAAGTGAGCAGTCAAACAAGTTCATTCAGAGACACAAATTTACACTCATATCCTGGAGACTGCAAGTTAGGTTACAGCCTTACAGGTGTGCAGAGCCTTCTTTGTTTACCAAATACCACCACTGGTTGCACAAGATAAGAACAAGGTCTTGTAAAGCATTACCTGTTCATGATCGGCTTCAAACAGCAGAAAGAGGAGAAAGTTAAGAAGAAATGACTTTTATGTAAACAAGATAAAGAGAAGAGGGAGCTCCCTTCAGTCCAAGCACAGAGAGCTTAAGATCCAATTTGTCTCCCGCATCATTCACTCATTTACTGAGTGTTGTATCCTTAAACTCAGTATTTGGATGAATGAGTCGGCAGCTAATTAAATCCTATCGCCACCCATGAGTGGACTGAAGAAAGCTCTCTCCTAACCATAACGCATATGTCCATATCTATCTATATAACAAAAAAGCCCAAAAAAAAAGGGGAAAAAAACATATCTATAGAAAGATTTAGTGATGCACATGCATGTAAAGAGAGAGATCTGCCATCAAGTTTATAAGTAAATGAATGAAAAATTGGAATTTGATTCCCATGTAACCCTAGCTAGGAAGTTTTAATTAAGGAAGTGGGACTAGAAAGGGCAGAAAGGGAGAGGTGAAGAAAGCGACTGTTGAGATGCGGAGGTCGATCTCTGTGAAAGGAATTGGAGGAGAAAAGAGGAGAAGGCTGCCCAACTAACTCATTTAGCCACGGCCAGGCATTTCGTGAATTGCTCGGTGGAGTAAAGGCCTTTATATAAGCTAAAAGAATCATAGAGATCATCATCATCCTCTCTTTTCTTTTCTTTTCTTTTTTTAAAATAGAAAACAGTAAATAAATTATAGTTTTTAATTTTTCAGTAAGAGCTACATCAAAATTTAAAACAACAATTATTAAATAAAAAGAAATACTTCTTAATATCAGAAACTGCATCTCGTTTAATAGTTCAGGTGGTGTTTGTTTTAAAATTATCATTTGTCTGTTTAAATGGATAGATTAAATATTTTATTATAAATAATAATAATTTATATTATTAATTATTTTTAAATAATTAATTCAAATAAAATTTTAAATTATATAATTTGATGTAATTTTAACTATATAAATATATACTTTTTAATAAATGAATAAAGAAGCGATGGCCTACATATTCATATTCTTCTATGATCTTTAATTTAATTTTTCTTTCCTTTTGTATGCTTGTAGAACTAGAAGCCTCTCAAGTCTCAGCACCAATCCCTTGCGTATTATGTAGAAAGGCCCATCACTTCCATTTCACCATTTGTTTGCATCAGTAGACTTTAAAATTGCTCTGTAGGTAAGAAAGATGTTGATTGCAAGAAAATTTGACTTATTTATCCACATAGGATGAGCAGGTAAGAAAGTTGTTAAATAATTCTTGATGGACGTTAAGGGTATTAAAGTTAAAATTAAC